GAGGGGGTGGACGACCCCCAACACCAAAGTGACCTTAATGAAGTATCTTAAACACAAAAAAAAATAGAACTTTTATATGTTATACACAAAGCTCAAAACAGCATGAAAAATAGGTTAAAAGCTAGTGCAAGAATGGGAAATATAAAGCAATAGTGCTCACCCTTGAAGAGCACTTGAAGAACCAAAACTCCAGCCCCCTTTTCTAATCAAAACTAACTCAAAAGCTCCAAGAACAACCTCTCAACACCTCAATAACCAAGGCAAGGTGTAACACTAGGTGTCTTAGTGCAAAATTAAGACCAAAACACACTTTTCGGCCCTCTAACAAACAAATATAGAGAGAGAGGGAGATATATATAGAGAGAGTGATATATATTATATATCAGATGTATAAGTCTGATTGTTGCTCAACCTCCTCAAAGGAGAGGGAGGGCCCTCTTATATAGACAAGGCAAAAGCCTAAGCTTCCAAGAGAAGCTAAACAAAAGGGGTCAAGGCTTCTAAAGAAGCTAAGGCTAAGGGGCCAAGGCTTCCTGAGGAAGCTGAGACAAGGGTCCAAGCTTCTTGAGGAAGCTAAGACAAAGGTCCAAGCTTCCTCAAGAAGCTAGACCAAAAGGGTGCAAAGGGTGCAAATTCCTCCATACACGTGTATGGAGGCAGGTCTGTGCACTCCAGCTGGCACAACTGGCATGTACAATGCCTGAAAAAGGCAAAAAGGAGGTATCGGTTAGAGAGAGAGACTATCGGCCAAACAAATGGCCGGCCGACCACTCAAAGAGCCGATACGCCTAACAGAAGTGTCGACCGACCAAATATTTGGTCGATGGCAGAAAAAGCAAGGCCGGTGGCTTCATGCCACGGCCGGTGGGTTTTAGGGGATGGCTAACAAGCCACCTCCTACCCTCAGGTGCAAAAACAAACAAGTTCTTGGCCCACAACCAAGCACAAACATGGATGATCCTAAGGCAAGGCTTGTAGCCGAGTCCTTCGGGATCTCAAAACGAACACGAACATGGATGATCACCGAGTGTTCAAACGGTGACGTCTGAGTCTTGAGGACGGTCAAAAATGGGGTGTCTACAATCCTTTGCCAACTGACTCAATCCTTAACCGAAAACTCTTTCTATAAGTATACTTTAGGTGCTAGAGGTGATATCACGAACCACTTACTCAACAAGAATTCTCTCTCTCTCTCTCTCAAAAATTCTCCAATCCAGCGGAGTGGTGGTTCTCAAAATGGTCAAAGGATGAAACAAGGTAAACTCTGTCTCTCTCTGTTTTTTATTTCTTTGTGTCTTTGTGTCTCTATTTCCATGTCTCTCTATCTCTCTTTTGAGTAAATCCACTTTCTTTCTTTCTTTCTTTTGTTGTTGCAAATCAAGGCAATCCATCGTTCCACAAAATTCAAATGCTTCGGGATTAATGGTATACATTTTTTCTTTAAATGATATTGATATTCGAATTGAAAATAAAAAAGCAGGCTTCAAAGATGGAAACCCACAAATCGATTGATTCAGTCCGTCGACCCACGAAACTGAATATCAAAAATGCAAGTGTTCTATATATCATTTAATAAATAAATTGTGTATTTTTTTGATTATATATATATATATAGGGAAAGGATACATGAGAGAAAACAGATGACTATTGTGATGAATTACTAGAATGCATTGCCCAAACAATTGTGTTTGATCTGTGGGCTAAGAAGTTAAGGGAACAGGAGCGTCATGAACAAAGAAAATTAAAGATGGTGCTCCACGCTGTAATTGATGATAACGAGACTGATTTCAATCCAGCAATGTAGAAGGTAGATGTGAACAAATAAAGAAAACCTGTTTTTCTTTTATCTTTGATTGGTAGTAAAGACAAAACTATGGGGAAATTGGCTCAAACTTCTTTACGAAGAAAGAAGAAGGAAAAAGAATAATGATTTCTCTTCTCTAGCTTGAAGAAGGAACCAGAAGCTCCTGAATGATCCAGAAGCAAATAGCAAACTTCAATTTGGATTGAAGCTCTATGAACGTCATCCATGGAAGCTTCCCAAACACGTCTGAAACACGGTGAAATTCCTGTCACCACCGACGCATCTCAGCCTCGGTGGAAGCCTATAAATAGATAAGTAAGTTATTGTATTTTGATATGCAGACATTGAATTAAAGAAGATAAGAGTGGTGAAGAAACAAGAGTAAATTTGTTTCTCTCCAAAATATATAGAATTTTCGCTCTTCGTGGACGTTGGCAATTGTCGAGCCACATAAACTTTGTGTTTCTATGTTGTGTGTGTTTATTTGCATCAATTTGTGGCTTTTCCTAGCCCAATAAGTGCTATCAGAGCTTGGTTAAGCAAATTTTCAGTGAAATAGGGGCATTTTTCAAGACTGCCAGATTTCGAAGTTGTCAAAATCAACTTCTGAACACACCATTGAATAGCTCTCATCGAGTAAAGCAATTTAAAAGAAAAAAAAAATTGACCTCAAATGGACAAAATGTAATTTGTAAAATTATAAGAAGTATATATATTTTTTTTATTTTTCCTGCCCGTCCTTTGCCAACTAACTCAGTTCCTAACCGAAAACTCTTTCTATAGTATACTTCAATTGCTAGAGGTGACATCACGAACCACTCACTCAGCAAGAATTCTCTTTCTCTCTCTCTCTCTCTCTCTCTCTCTCTCTCTCTCTCTCTCAATAATTCTCCAATCCGGTGGCGTGATGGTTCTCAATACGGTGAAAGGACGAAACAAGGCAAACTCTGTCTCTCTGTGTCTCTATGTCTTTGTTTCCATGTCTCTCTATCTCTCTTCTGAGTGAATACATTTTCTTTCTTCTTTTTTTTTTTTTGTTTCAGATCAAAGCAACCCATCGTTCCACAAAATTTAATCGATTTGGGGTAAAAAATTGTTTTTAAAACTATTAATGGTATACATTTTTTCTTTTGAATGATATTGATATTGTAATTGAAAGTGAAAAAGTAGGCTTTCAAGATGGAAACCCACAAATCGATTGATTCAGTCCGTTGACCCATGAAACTGAATATCAGAAGTGTAAATGTTCTATATATCATTTAATAAATAAATTGTGTATTTTTTTGTTAAGATTGATAATATATATATATATATATATATAGGGAAAGGATACATGGGAGAAAATGGATGACTATTGCGATGAACTACTAGAATGCATTGCCTAGCCAATTGTGTTTGATCTTTGGGCTAAGAAGTTAGGGGAATAGGAGCGTCATGAACAAAGAAAATTAAAGATGGTGCTCCACACTGCTATTAATGATGACGAGACCGATTTCAATCTGGCAATGTAGAGGGTAGATATGAACAAATAAAGAAAACCTATTTTTCTTTTATCTTTGATTGGTAATAGGCTCAAACTTCTCTATGAAGAAAGAAGAAGGAAAGAGAACAATGAATTCTCTTCTCTAGTTTGAAGAAGGAACCAGAAGCTCTTGAATGATCCAGAAGCAAATAGCAAACTTCAATTTGGATTGAAGCTCTGTGAAGGTCATCCATGGAAGCTCCCCGAATGCGTCCGAAACACGGTGAAATTTCTATCACTGCCTACGCATCTCACCCTCGGCGGAAGCTTATAAATAAATAGGTAAGCTATTGTATTTTGATATGCAAACATTGAATTGAAGAAGAGTAAATTTGTGTGTGTTTGAGGAAACAAGAGTAAATTTGTATCTCTCCAAAATATATAGAATTTTTGCTCCTCATAAACGTAGGCAATTTTCGAACCACATAAACTCTATGTTTCTAACTTGTGTGTGTTTGTTTGCATCAATCTATGGTTCCCCTGGCCCAACAAGTGGTATCAGAGCCTGGTTGAGTGAATTTTCAATAAAATAGGGGCATTTTTCAACACTGCCCAGATTTCAAAGTTGTGAAAATGAACTTTTCAATATACCATTGAATATATCTCATTGAGTAGAGCAATTTGAAAAAAAAATTCACCTCAAACGGACACCAGAAGCTCTCTCAATCGCCGATCAAAGTTGGCTTGAAAAAGTCAACCGTTCGGGCCAAGAAGACGGACCAAACCAAGCCGCAAAGCCGAGCCAAGCCGAAGAAAAATATTCTATGAAATATTCCATGCCACTCAACACGCCACGCCAGGTTGACCAAGCCACGTCATCGTTGACCTTAAGCCAGCACACTACTATCTCACTACTACATCATCGCCGTGTCATTTGTCACATCAGCACCGACAGCCTGGTCAACTACCACATCATCGTCATGTCATTTGCCATGTCAGCACCGGCAACCTGCCAGATGTCGTGTCAGTGTTAACTGCCACATCAACAGCCTTATCAGAAATGGTATATTCCCTCTCTGATGGAATATTCTGACCGAATATTCTCTACTGTAACAGAATATTCCTTGAAAGGTTTTGGTCAGTTTTGGGAGCACTTTTAGGCCGATTTTTGAAGTGGAGAGAGTAGCCCTTAGCTAAATCAACAGTTCCAAATGCAACCATGTTATCCATTTCTTTAGATTCAAATTCGAATTTTCGTGAGGTTATCAAGGGTGTTGTATCCCAAACTGTCTTAGTTGTCTTTGAAGAAGGGTTATTTTAGTGGTTTTAGAATTTTGAAGAAGAATGGTTGAAGAAATAGCTTCATCAAGTAACCAAGGAAGAAGGAGTTCAATCTCCAATGCCAAGTTCGAGGTAAAAAAGTTCGATGAAAAAAATAACTTGGGCATGTGGCAATGCGAAGTCTTAGACGTGCTCATCCAACAAGAATTGGATATCGCTTTGGAGGACAAACTTGTGGAAATGTTCAACAAAGATTGGAACAAGATCAACCGGCTAGCCTGTGGTATTATCTGGTTATGTCTTGCAAAATATCAGAAGTATTTTGTCATGAAGGAGATGAATGCCAAAGATCTCTGGAAGAAGTTGGAGGACAAGCACATGATGAAATGCATAGAGAATTGATTATACTTGAAGAAGAAGCTTTTCTGGTTTCAGTATAAAGAAGGAAGTTTGATGTCCAAACACTTGAATGACTTTAACAAGATTCTTGTCGATCTACTCAATCTAAATGTTGAAGTTGAAGATGAAGACAAGGCTTTATTGCTGCTGAATTCCTTACCAGATGAATATGAGCACTTGGTTATCACACTGCTCTATGGGAAGGAAGAAGTCAAGTTTGAAGATGTGTCTAACACATTAGTTAACAATGAGTATCGAAAAAAGGATAAGAAGGCGCACTATCAAGACACATTAGGTGGAGCCTTAGTTGTACGAGGAAGATTAGAGAAGAAGAAGCAATCTAGGAGGGGTTCATACAGAAGCAGCAAAAACAGATCCTGCTCCATGTCTAAGGAACCGTCAACCAGAAAAATACCCGCTATAGATGAATATGCCATTTGTCGAAAGAAAGGACACTAGAAAGCTGATTGTCTGAAGAATCATGACAATGAGACATCTATAGTCAGCCTTGCTCAGGAGAATGAAGATTTAGATTGTGTTTGTATTGCTCCATCGTTTCCGTGCCATACTGATGAATAGATTATGGATTATGGATGTACTTTCCACATCTGTCCCAATTAGGACTGGTTTTCTGACTTTGAGAAGTTAGATAATGGAACAGTTCTTATGGGTAACAACGCCGCATGTAAGACAATAGGAATTGGAAGCATCCAACTAAAGCTGGATGATGGAACAATTCGAGCTCTGAAAGAACTACGGTATGTACCAGAATTGAAGAAGAATCTCATCTCGTTGAGCACTTTAGCATCCAAAGGTTTCAAGATTACCTTGAAAGGTGAAGATCTTGAAGTGGTATCGGGAACTCGGGTAATAATGAAGGGGAGCAAAAATAAAAATCTATACTTCTTGCAAGGAAGTACAGTTGTGGATGGAGCAGCCACCAACAGTAGAAAGAATGAAGAAGTTGACAAAGTTGACACAAATTGCACGAAGACCAAAGTCAAGTTCGAGAAAGTAGAACATTGTATGGAAGAAAAGATGGACTACGTGCATACCAGTGTATGGGGGCCTTCCAGAGTTGTATTGAAAGAAGGTAAGCACTGTTTTGTCACATCTATTGAAGAATATTCTCATCTTGTTTGGGTGTACACTATGAAGAATAAGAATGAAGTTGTGAACAACTTCACAACATGAAAGAAGATGATGGAAAACCAGATTGACAGAAAGTTGAAGACCTTAAGATCAGACAATGGTGGAGAGAACATTATTGATCCATTGAAGTAGCTCTGTCAGAAAAAAAGGTAGAGTACATCACATCACTAAAAGACGAACTCCACAACAGTATGAAATGGCAAAACGAATTAACAGTACTTCATTGGAAAAAGGTGCATTGTATGCTTGCTCAATCTAGTTTAGGCAAGCAATTTTTGGCTGAAGCTGTGACATATGCCAGCCGTCTTATCAACCATCTGCCAACTACTACAAATGAAAGAAGAACATCTTTGGAAGTATGGTTCGGTACTCATGCCAATGACTATGATTAATTACAATCTTTGGTAGTCTGACTTACTATCATGTGTAAAGAAGTAAGCTTGATCCTAGAGCCAAGAAAGGAGTATTCTTCGGCTTTAGTCATGAAGTAAAAGGGTACAGCCTTTGGTGCCCCGAATCGAAGAAGATCATAGTTAGCCAAGATGTCACATTTAATGAGTTTGAAATGCTTAAGCAACTCAAGCCTGAAGACTCTAGTGAACAAAACAAAGCCATTGGAACACAACAGGTGGAGTTTAATGCACCAGTAGACTCAGAAGAACGAATTGAAAAAGGTGCAATTGAAGAAGAGCCAGTCACAACAATATCGCAGCAATCAGAGTCTATTGTTACGAGAAAGTTGAATAGAGAGACCAGATAACCAGCAAGATACACAAATATGGTATCTTATGTATTTCCAACAGTTGCGAATGATATCTCAACAACTGAGGCAGCCAAGAAGAACCCCAAGCAAGAAAACGTAGCTGAAGAAGAAAAAGAAAAAGAAGAAGAAGTACAGAATCTGCACAAGAATAAGACTTGGAACGTGGAACGATTGCCAAACAAAAAAAGGTAATCAGCTGCAAATGGAAACTCACTAAAAAGAATGGTGATTTGAAAGAAAAAAATTTCTTGTCTTAACCTAGAAGGTTTTGAGTAGTTAGAAAAGAAATTTCATTGGAAAGAAGAAATCTCTCTACAAAATGAAGTAATCACCCCAGCAGTGGTATGAGTCTAATCATTTTATGGTTACACAAAAGAAGAGTCTTGGGATGGAGAATCCCCAAGAGAGGGTTAGGGTCAAAAGCACAGTGCATCTCTCCTAGCAGAAGAAAACCCAACCAAAGAAGAACAGAATTGGAGTTAAGTTCAAACAGAGTTTGGGCTTAATCCATTTGGAGCAAATGTAAGCACCTTCGGGTGCATGGCAATGTTGATTGCTCACTATATAGGTTGGATGGAGAATCTTTTCGCCAAGATGGAGAATTGTGGGGAAGTTGGCTCAAACTTCTCTACGAAGAAAGAAGAAGGAAAGTGAAGAATGATTTCTCTTCTCTAGCTTGAAGAAAGAACCAGAAGTTCCTAAATGATCCAAAAGCAAGTAGCAAACTTCAATTTGGATTGAAACTCTGTAAAGGTCATCCACGGAAGCTTCTCGAACGCGTACGAAACGCGGTGAAGTTTTCATCATCGCCTACGCATCTCACCCTTGGTGGAAGCCTAAAAATAGATAGGTAAGCTATTGTATTTTGATATGCAAACATTGAATTGAAGAAGAAGAGAGTGGTAGGGAAACAAGAGTGAATTTGTATTTCTCCAAAATATATAGAATTTTCGCTGCCCCTGGATATAGGCAATTGCCAAACCACGTAAACTCTATTTTTCTATCTTGTGTGTATTTCTTTGCATCAATATGTAGCTCCCCTGGCCCAACAAAAACCTAATACACATATCTTTGATTGGTAGTAGAGAGCAAGCGACTCTCTATTTTTTTCTTCGATTGGTGTTTGGTGTAAATATCTGAGCAGAGATACATAGAAATAAAAAATATATATGATAAAATTAAACATAAAATTCAAATTGAGTGGTAATATTTCGTCTTCCCACAAAACAAAACAAAAAAAAATCAAGTTCTATTATTGATGAAATATTTTTTGGGCACTGAAAAATACATATTTATCGATCAAATTAAGTAGTCGTTAAAGATTAAAAATAAAATTAATTTAGAAATTCCTTCAAACTTCTAAGTCCTCCCTCAAACACTTTAATTACATTTACTGACTAAATTATTTTTAGTAGCTAAAAATTGTGCATTTAGGGACCAAATTATTTTTTAGTTGCCCAAAATCTTATTTTCAACGACTAAACACAATTAGTCGACAAAAGTGAAATAAATGCCAATAAAATTATGTTTTAATTGCTAAAGATTGTACAATTAGGGACCAAATCATTTTTTTAATCACTCAAAATCCTATTCTTAACGACTAAAACATAACTAGTTGCCAAAACTACAATAAATACCGACTAAATTATATTTAGTAGTTAAAGAATGTACCTTTGCCGACCAAATATTTTTATAGTAGCTAAAGTTTATACCTTTGGCGACCAAATTTTTTTAAGTAGCCAAAGCGTGTACCTTTGGTGACTAAATTTTTTTTAGTAACTAATGTGTATACCTTTGGCGATTAAATCCACTTTCGTCACCAATCAGTCAGATTGAGGATGCAATGAAACAGGGGTCGATAACCGATGAGAAGGAGCAGCGTAAGAGGCATTTCACGCGCAATTCCAATGCAACCATGAGTGGAAGCACAACTGCACAGCCATCTGATCTAATTGTCATCACCACGACACCCAAAACTGCTAACCTTTTCGCCAGTACAAATCCACAAACCTCAAATAGCCAAGCCCGATCTCAAAGGGTCTTTCCCTCGCTCTATATGCCTTTATCCAAAGCTTTAGGGGTGCTGATCAAAAAGGGGCATCTTAAGCCGTTAGAACAACGCCCACTACCTGATCCTCTCCGGCCTAAACACAACTCGGCCAAATACTGCGTTTTTCACCAGCAGCACGGTCACGACACCGACTAATGTTACAAGCTGCGTCATGTGGTTCAAGATCTCATTGATAACAAGGTGATAGCACCACCCCAAAAGCCAAATGTAACCACCAACCCTCTTCCACCCCATAACCAAGGCCCTCCACCCCGGCACTTAAACTTAATACATACACTGGCCATCCCATATGACCCCAGCGTATATATTACCCCTTCCCACCTACCCAAACCAGTTGTGTTCATTCCTGAAAGCACGAACTTGTGCATGATGGACACATCTATACTTCAACCTGAACCCGTGGTGGTGATAGTGGTAGAAGAAGGAAGGTTAGCCTTGAAGGAGAGTGTTAGTCCATTTCTTGAGAGCTCTGCGGACTTAACTGAGGGAGTATATGATCCGTGCCATTACATTGTGCCAGTGGATCAAGCCAAACCCGAAGTGGTATTACCGACAGCAGTGGAGGTTAATGTGGTTCGAGAGGATGGCCCAAGCCAGGACCTACCCTTCCATTTTTAGGGTTAAAAAAATTAGAGCAAAATTAATTTTCTCTCTCTCTTGATATTTCTTGAGTTTTTACCTATACACTCTTAGCCAAACCTTTCCATCTTTGAGCTGAGATACTTTTGAGCCTAACTTGAGCTCTTGAGGGTGTGTATGTGTTGAATTATTAATTAAAATTGTTCTTCTCTTCAAGAGGTATAAGGCTTAGCTTGTTTCATTGCTTTGATTGATTCTTTTCCTACTGTTTTTCTACTGTTTTAGGGCTATATAAACGCTATATTTTTGAGCTGAAACTTGTGGTTTAAGGCCATAAAGGGTGGAAGAGTGTTTCACCTTTCTTTCCACCTTGCTTCTCTAGCCTTTACTCTTGTGTTTTCCACCTTTACAATATTTTTTTTTGAACTTTTAAACACTGATTTTCAGAGTTATTTCAGTGGCTAAAAATATGTTTTGAAGTCGAAAATTGGAGGGGTTGGCTTCCCTTCCTTGTGTCTTGTTCACTAGCTTACATAGCTCTATGTTTTAGCTTATTATTCTAGCTTTTTTTGTCTTAATTCCAGCATATTTTAGGACATATTTAGCACTGTTTTAGGTCTGTTTTTGGTTATTCATTACATTTGAGCCTTGTATTGCATGCTTGTAGTTTAATTTTCCTCATAGGTCTAGTGGTTTAGGCCTTAGCCACCAACCTATTTGAGTTGATAGCATTTATTTCTTGCTTTCCATACTTGTGATCACCTTTAATTACCTCTGCAACCTCCCTCCTTTCTTGGCTTTTTATTTGCTTTAAAAGTTGTTTCAAGGTACTTGTTTGTTTAAGCATGAGATTTAGGTATTGTGCTTAATGGTTTAATCCCTTTGGGGGTTCATTACCAATGGCATGACACTTCTCTCATGCCTAAAACAACTCTTGGTTTGGTGCTCCTTTCCATTAGAGGACTTAAAACTCACTCTTGGACTTAATTGACTAAGGAATGGTTGGTAATTAAAATCAAGAAATAAAATGAGGACTAAAAGTGATGCACGATAATAAGCAACTTGGGTTCAATTGGAAGTTAATTGAACCCATTGAGTCTTTAGTTGTTTCATACTTGTTAGTGATGTAAACGGTTCAAGAGTCAATGTCAACCACTTCCCTTGATCAATCCATGATAGATAGGGGGTTTTCAGAGTCTTTTCTTGTGCATTTAATGAAATTCTACACCTTGGTTCATAGGCCATCATGCAATGAAGTGCATCGATTGATGGCTTGTGAATTGAGCTTGCCACTCCTTTGAGCTATTTTGATTATAAGGAGGGGTAAGGTGTACAAACATACCTTGAAAAATACCTTGCTTGTGCTCTGTATGCCTTCTGTTACAGTAGGGGGAACAAAGCTTTAGTGGCCGGCAGGCCACTATTTCTAGACAACAGACTACCGTTTGTGGCCGGCGGGCCACCACTTCTGGCCTGTCGGCCACTTTTGTCAAATTGAGTGGCAGCTTTTTTGGAACAAAACAAAGTAGTGGCTGAGGTGAAAGATGTTCTACTATGTAACAGAAGCATTCTGGCAGCAGAACAGTGTGCTTTTCGGGTGGAAATCCGCGCATGCATGAGCATCCCTCA